TTTTCTCTTCTCCCAGGCTCCCTTCCCGCTCTGCTGTCCTCAGTCCCACCTTCTTGTGCCGTAGCTGAACTCCCTGCAGATAAGTGGACGCTGGTGGCATGTGACCGGGGGTCCCTGACCTAAATTATCTCCCTCTGCCTGTGGACTGGCCATTTCACTGCCCACGTTGCACTCTGACGTCTGAGCCCAAGGGCTTCCCTATCCAAGCCCAGACTATAAATATGCCTCGGGCTTAGGACTATTTGTCTCCAAGAGTCCTCAGATAAACCACTCTTCCTGGGAGGGGGAGCTTTAACCCATAATCTCCCGAACTCTTTAGCAACAGGGCACAGGACTTAGATGTTTGAAGGATCAGTGCAAGGTGGAGGCCGGCAGGCAAGTCTGTACAGCAGTCATGTTTTGGGGTGTATCTGGTGTCTTAAAGTTGTTCTGCTGCTATCAATATTTTCGAAACTTTTTAAATATTGTAACGTCAGTACTTTATAACTCCTCCTGAAAAATAAAAACACAAAGGTAGAAGCTTTAACGATGTTGTTCTGCATCTCCACAAAATAAAGGGGTCTCAGCTGCCCCCTGCCAGCTTCCTCAGGGGTGGCTGAGTCCTGGCCCCTGGGCCTAGTTTGTTTGTCCTGTAGCATTCCCATTCAGATATTAACCCTTCAAAACAAAAAACAAGTACAAAATATGAAAAATATATAGATGATACAAAAGTAGTCCTTGTCTTGAAAAAACTTGTGGATTTATTGAGAAAGCAAACTATGCATGCGAAACGTCACGTCAGGATACAATTCTTACATTTTTAAAATATTTTATGTTTCCACTTTTTTTTTTAAGATTTATTTATTTATTTATACATGCACTGGGTACAGTCAGAAGTGCGAGAGGGCGAGAGAATTCACCAGAGCCAGAGCGGGGAGCAGAGCAGGCAGAAGGACCGAAGGACACTGCTGAGGGGAGCAGCGGGCGGCAGGAGAGGTCTGCGCGCCATGTGGGATCCTCGCAGGGGGCCGGGGATCAAACTGGTGCTGCAGAGGCTGCGGGCAGCTTCGCAGCCTAGCGCTCAACCGCTCTGCCACCCGGGAGGCCCTATGTTTTCACTCTTTAGAGATAACATTTGCTTCTCCTGAAAGCAATAATTACCTCCTCAAAACTGTTTGGTTCCTTCTACACCCAGCCCTTGAAGCCAGAGACACTTCCATTGCAACCTCAGCACCCAAGGTGCTCCAGAGAAGTTAACTGGGCGCATCTGAGACCCTGTTATCTTGTGGGGGAGTGGGATGCTGTTGCTAGAGCTTCTATTTTTATGATGTTGTTTCTCAAGAGAAGTCATAAAATATTCTGGCTTTATGATATTGATAAGTCACTGGGAAGGGAAAAAAAAAAATCTTTGACATACTGAGTAGATCCAAACCATAACTGTGGTTCACGAGTTAATGGCAAATAAACATTTTTAAATATCAGTGACCATTTATTATCTACCGTCGGCCATTTCACACATCTATATTTTATTTATTTATTTATTTATTTTTGTGGGACCCTTGCTGGCGGCCGGGGAACGAACCGGCGCTGCAGCCTCGCAGCCCAGCGCTCAACCGCTGCGCCACCGGGGAGGCCCACATCTATATTTTTTTTTTAAAGATTTTTATTTATTTATTTATACGAGCACTGGGTACAGTCAGAAGCGCGGGAGGGTGAGAGAATTCACCAGAGCCAGAGCGGGGAGCAGGGCAGGCAGAAGGACCGAGGTACACTGCTGAGGGGAGCAGCGGGCGGCAGGAGAGGTCTGCGCGCCATGTGGGACCCTCCTTACCACATCTATATTTTAACATAACTAGTAACATAAGCAACATTGTGGGTAAATACTGGGACATGTAAACATACAGGGTAAAAAAGCAAAAGCCTGTTTTAACCACCACCACCCCCCCACCCCCCCCCCCCCCCACCCCCGCCCAGAGCCCCTTGGGTGCCGCCCGCCGAGAGTCGGGTGGGTCCTTCCAGACGACTTGGGCAGAGGCAGCTCCGGGCCGCGAGCCACCAGCCCAGCCCGAGGACGAGGAGCCGCCGCCAGGGGCCTGAGTGTCCGTCCGGGCCGCGCTGGCACGCGCGGGTGCTGGGTTCGAGGCCCGGGCCCTCGAGATGGCGCGAGTGGAAAAAGCAGATACCCCGAGCCTCAGAAGAGGCCCCCGGCCTCGGAATCGCGGGGCTCACGGGCCGACTTGGGGAGACAGGGCTGACCGTCTCGCGGGGGAGGCGAGGGCCGGCACCGGTGCGAGGGGCGGGGGGGCGCTCGGGCTCCGCGCGCACAGCGCCGTCCGGGGCGCGGGGCTCGCCTCGCCGCTGGGCGCCCCCACGTCCGGCCACCAGCGCCCCGCGGCCGCCCCTCTTGGGCAGGACACGCCCGACCCGGGGACGTGCCGGCTGACGCTGCCCCCGAACTGCGGGACCGCCCCGCCCGGGCCCTCGAGCCAAGCGCCGGCTCCCGCCGGGTGGCCGAGCCCGCAGCCCCGCGTGGGTGGGCGCCGCGGCTCTGGGCCGGCGGGGGCGGGGCCTCCCGAGGGCGGGGCCTGCCATGGGGCGGGGCCTCGGGCGGGGGCGGGGCCTCGAGCGGGGAGGGGCGGGGCCCGGGCGGGGAGGGGCGGGGCCCGGGCGGGGCCCGGGCGGGGCCCGGGCGGGGAGGGGCGGGGCCCGGGCGGGGGCGGCAGTGTCCGCAGCGCGGCTCTGGGGCCGAAGCGGCCGCCGCGGACCGAGGCTGCTGGAGGGAGCGCCGGGGCGCGGAAGGGTTAACGGGCTCCCGGGGCCGCGCGAAGCAGGTACAGACCCCCTCTGGGGCCCCGGCCCGGGCCGCACCCCCCGGCCCCGCTAGAGCCGCCGTCCCCCCCCGCGCGACGCCCCCGCCCCCGCGTGCGGCCGCGCCCCCCCCGACCCCGGGCGCGACCCCGCAGCCGGGCCCGCCGAGCGCGAGCGCAGGGCCGGTCCGCGGGGCCCTGGCGCTGCCGGCGCGCGGGGAATCAGCCAAGATTCCTGCTCAGTCACACAGCGCAGTTGGACACACGGCCCGGCTCCTGCACGCGCCGCCCTCCCGCCCCTCCGCGCGGAGGCGCGCCGGCTGCTGCGCCTGCACCCCGAGCCGGGACGGGGCGCCCCGAGGGCGGCGCGCGGGCCCCCGCTGCGGCGCGGCCCGACGACTCCACCTGCTGGGGGTCCCCCAGGAGCCGCGCGCGGGGCGCAGCCCGGACCCGGGAGCTCCGACGAGGACAGGGGCGCTCACCGCCGGCCCGGCCCGCGCCCATGGCCCCCCGCCCGGCCGCCGCGACCCGAGTCCCAGAGGTGGGTCCTCCCAGGGGGAGGGGTCGGCCCTGCCCGGCCTCCTCCTGACCCTCCCCAGCCTGGCGTGCGGGCGGGACCCCCGGCTGCCCAGGCCAGGGTCGTGCCTGGCACCCGCGCGCCACTTCTCACCTCTCCTCTCCTCTGCGCACCCCGGGCACTCGGACACCCGTGAGAGGGGCACGAGAAGGGGTAAAAAGCACAGATGCGTGTCTGTTTCCACGGTGGAGGGGGTGTCGGCCCCCAGCCCGGCTGTGCAGGGGGACAGGGTGGGACTTTTCCAGCAAGGGAGCCAGGCCTGGCTGGGGCCCCAGGAGCTCACGTCACCCCCTCCCCCCACCCCCTTCTCCAGGGAACTGCCAGAGCCAGAGCCCGGGCAGTGTGGGATTATGTGTACCGGGCAGCCCCGGAGGGACAGGAGACAGGGCCAGGCAGCGGAGGGAAGCGCAGGCAGACGGGGCGGAGGGGACCCGCGGCAGGGAAGGGCAGTGACCTCCCCCCGTCTGTCCGTCCTTCAACCTCCAGCAGCAGCATCAGGCAGGGCGAGCCCTTTGGGTGGCGGAACGCCGGCCACTGGAGCCCTCGCCCCCCCCCACCACCGTCAGGGTGGAGTGGCTGACCTCAGCCCGGGCCGGCGCGGCCGCCCCTTCCCACCCTTTGGGGCTCAGGCTCATCTCTGCGGCCTCCCTTCAAGTCCCTGGGTCCTGGGGTCTCGGGGAAGGGGGCGAGGTGAGTGTCACCGCCCCGGCCACATTCCCGCTGCCCCCAGCTGGCCCACCTGGCACCGGCTCCTTGGATCCCTTCCCCTGTGCCTTTCGGATCCAACAGAAACATTTTTTTTCCCCTGGAAAGCAGAAGGCGGAGCAGGGTGAGGAGTGGGAGCAGGCAGGGCCGCAGGAGCAGGAGGGGCTGGGGGCACAAGGGCAGTGGGGCGCGTCCCGCCTGGAGGCCAGGGGGAGGTTCCCAGCCCCCGGCCCACGAGTCCCGGGCGGGCGGGCCTGGACGGGCGCAGCGGCAGCCCTCCCTCCATCTCCCTTCCAGGCCCCCCCAGTCCCTCAGTTGCCCCCAAAATAAGCCCCCAGCGAGCCAGTGCCTCACCCCGGCCCTAGAGGGAGTCAGCCCCCAGGAGGGAACCACCTGCTGCCAGAGCAGGGCCCACCGAGCTCTTCCCGGCCGGCCGGAGGCGGCTGGAGGCGGGCAGGGGGCCCAGAGGGAGCGCCGCTGAGGGAAGGAACCTCTGGGAGGCAGGGAGGGCAGGGCAGGCCCGCGGGACTCCTTGTCAGCGCCTCGCAGGAGGGCCTGGCATCTCCTCACCGCTCCCCTCCCCAACGTGCGGGGACCCCAGCGGGCGGCAGCTCCCCGGGAGGGCTGAGGGGTGGCCGGGTGGAAACCGTCTTAGAATGAGGCAGCGCTGGCCGCCAGACGGCCCCGGGGGGGCCTGGGAAGGAGCAGGGACGGCCCCAGGGCCCGCGGTGACACCGCCCCAGCCCGAGCCCCAGGGGCCCCCTCCCGCCTCCCCTGCTCGGAGCATCCCAGCCCTGTGGGCTGCCCTTCCCCACCGCACCCGCACTCTGAGACGCCCTTCCGCGGGGTGCTCCTTCCCAGCCCCCAGCTTCTGGAGCCCGGAGGGCGACCGTCGGCTTCCATCCCTGCGCGCAGAGGGCCCGGGGGCCCGAGTAGCCTGCCGCCCGCGGTCCCCTCTCCTGGCCGCCGCCACCGGGGAGCAATGGAGAAGAGGGCGGGCAGGTAAGAGGGGGCAAGAGAAGGGACATCCCTGAGAGGCTGGGGACGCAGCGAGGAACTTCTGCTTTCTGAGAAGTCGCCTCAGGATGTGGGGAGCCTGGGGGGGGCGGTCATGTCACGACACCCCGGCTCCCAGCAGACATCCCGCCACCTTGGGTTTGCAGGCCCCAGCTGTGTCTGATGCTGTTTCTGTCCTTCCCTCAGCTCTGCCTGGATCAGGAGGTGAGCGGGGGAGGAGAGGCCTGGGCCCTTTCACCTGTGCCCTCGCCCGTCCCCCTTTTCCAGACCAGCTCCCTCAGTCCCTGCCGAACCCAAGTCCCCCCTCTGCCAGCGCATGCGGCCTTGGCCCCAGCTCTGGGCTGCACAGTCTCTACAGCTCCCCGGAAACTCTTCCCAATTTTGTCTGACTTTTTTACCTGACAGGTGTCACCTGGACACTCCCTGGAGACACCCCCCGAGGAGGGGCAGGGCCCTGAGGGCACCTGGGGCTCTTGGGACCAGTGGGCCTCTTGTTCCCAGCCCTGCGGGGTGGGGGTGCAGCTCAGGAGCCGGACTTGTCAGCTCCCTGCAGCTCAGCTCCACCAGGGCCTGCCTCTCCCTCCCCGGCCCCCAAGACACCCAGACGCCCCGCTCCCCAGGGGGCAGGGCCCTAGGCCCCAGGCCTCCCGAGAAGGCCTCTCCCTGTACAGACCACGTCCTCGGGGGAGAGGTGGCCCACTTCAAGGTCCAGCCCCCCAACTGGGGAGAGAGGAGACCCAGGAGAGTCCAGGAGCCAGGCGGTGAGGGGCTTGGCTCTGAGGGAGGGTGGGCTTGGGGTGAAGCGAGGTGGGGACCAGGATGCGAGGCTTCGGGGGCTTTTCTTGGCGCTGGAAGTCCGGGACGGCTGGGGAGGTGGGTGAGAAGTGGTCGGAGCTGTGACCCCCATCTCTTCTCAACACCTCTCAGGTCCCGGCTCCGCGACCCCATCAAGCCAGGGATGTTTGGTTACGGGCGCGTGCCCTTCGCCCTGCCACTCCACCGGAACCGGAGGCACCCCCCGAGGCCGCCCAGCTCCGAGCTCTCCCAGCCCCCAGCCCCTCCATCCCTGACTCCGGGGGCAGAGCCGGCCCCCACAAACCAAACCCCTCAGGCTCCGCTCCCTCCTCTAGAATTGTCTGCCCACACCCCGCCTCCCCCAGCAGAACCTCCAAGTCCCAAAGCTGCCCAGACAGAGGTGCCCTCCAGAAGCAGGCCTGCCCCACCAGAGCCCACTCCGGTGCCCAGGCCTCAGGCACGGCCACCCCCGGGTCCACGCTCCCCCCAGGGAAAAATAGCTCCTTCCACGTGCCCCTTCCGCCAAGAACACCCAGTTCCCAGGGTCGGGCCAGTCCCTGGGGGGCAGAGAGACACCCTAGTCCCGCCCTCTCTGCCCCTCGGGGCCACGGCCAGCAGCACTGGGTGCACCGGAGACCCGGGGGCGGTCGGCACAGGCCCCTCGCGCAGGCCGCCCCTCGCCACGCGGACGGCTGGCTGCCCCTGCTCAGCACCGGCCCCACGCCAGCCCCCGCTGGAGCCTCTTTGCTCCCAGCAGCCCCGTCCCGAAGTGTCCCGGGGAGAGCGAGCAGCTCAGAGCCTGCAGCCAGGCGGTGAGTCCCCGGCCGGCCGCCCCCCGGGCCCGCTGGCCCGGCCTTGGGCCGGTGCCGCTCGCAGCTCTGGACCCGCGGGGGCCGGCTCTGCACCTTCCCTAGAGGGAGCTGCCCCCCAGATCCAGCCCTGCCCCTGCGCTGATCCCGGGTCCCCCCGCAGCCCTGCCCCCCGAGCAGCCGGACCCGCGGGCCCTGCAGTGTGCCGCCTTCGACGCGCAGGAGTTCATGGGCCGCCTGTACCAGTGGGAGCCCTTCACGGAAGGTGACTGCCGCGCTGCCTGGGGCGCTGCGCGGGGCGCGGGGGAGACAGGCCTGTGCTCCCCACCCCGAAAGCTTTCCTCCTCCTCCTCCTCCTCCTCCTCCTCCTCCTCCTCCTCCTCCTCGGCCCGTCTTCCCTCTTCCTTCCCCGGGCTGGGGTGAGGGGCTGGCCCCAGCGGGAGGCGAGGGGTGCGGACAGGCCCTGCTGCCGACGGAGGGGGACCCGGACACTTCCCCAGGGAATCCACCGGAGCCGGGGTGCAGAGCTGAGGGGTCCCGCCCGTGCGGACGCAGGGTGGGCATGCCACGTGCTCCCCGGTGCCACCCGCTGGCCAGCCTGTGTCCACGTGACGCCAAGACGGGCCCCGCGAGCCCTGAGCCAGCACGGCCGGGGCCTCGACACCCCAACTGCCCCGACCCAGCCTCTGTGGGCCCCGCCCCAGCCTTTCAAGGCACGGCCACCCAGGCAGCCCTGGGGTGCCCCCCGCGGCTGTTGGGGCCTGCGGGTTTCCGCAGCTCCCCCGCGCCAGGGGCCCCAGCTCCCCACCCTCTGCCCTGCCTCAGTCCAGGGCTCCCAACGCTGCGAGCTGAACTGCCGCCCCCGGGGCTTCCGCTTCTACGTGCGTCACACCGAGAAGGTGCAGGACGGGACCCTGTGTCAGCCCGGAGCCCTCGACATCTGCGTGGCGGGGCGCTGCCTGGTGAGGCGCGGGGGGGGGGTGGGGGGGGGCGCACGAGGACGTGGCAGACGCCGCTCAGTTCGCCGCTGCAAGGCGGACGCCAGGGGCCGGCGGGAACGGGGTCCGCACAGCGGCAGGCGGGAAGGCACCGCAGCCCCCCGGCCCAAGTGCATCTCACGGGGTGGGGGGTGAGCCGTGGGGCGGCGGGGCCAGGCTGCAGCCCGTGCCCCTCCTCGGCCCGCTCCCCAGAGCCCCGGCTGCGATGGGATCCTGGGCTCCGGCCGGCGTCCAGACGGCTGCGGCGTCTGCGGGGGCGATGGCTCTACCTGTCGCCTGGTCGCGGGGAACCTCACGGCCCGCGGGGGCCCCCTGGGCTATCAGAAGATCCTGTTCATTCCCGCGGGAGCCTCCCGGCTGCAGATCGCCCAGCTCCGGCCCAGCTCCAACTACCTGGGTGAGCACCCCGTCCCCAGTCGTGGGCCCCACTGCATTGGGGGGCTTCCTTCTGCTCCCAGACGTCATCTGGCACCCGGCCCGGCCCCCGTGGGAGCTGAGCGTGCGGGCCAGGCTCTGCGGGGGACACGGCGACCGGCCCCTGTCCTCGTCTCCCCCCTGCAGCGCTCCGGGGCCCGGGGGGCCGGTCCATCATCAACGGAAACTGGGCTGTGGATCCCCCCGGGGCCTACACGGCCGGGGGCACGACCTTCCAGTACAACCGGCCTCCTCGAGAAGAGGGCGCGGGGGAGACGCTGTCCGCAGAAGGCCCCACCACCCAGCCCGTGGACGTCTACGTGAGCCCGGCGGGCAGCGGGCGGGCGGCGGGCGGGCACCACCGGGGCGGGGGCCGGGGCGAGCCCCTCTGCGTCTCCTGAACACGCGTCCCCGCCCTTCCCCCCAGATGATCTTTCAAGAGGAGAATCCAGGCGTCTCTTACCAGTATGTCATCTCCTCGCCCCCAACGCTCGAGCCCCCACCCCGGAGCCCCGCGCCCCCCACCCCCAGCCGGGTGAGGAGACGGACCCCCTGCCAGGAGAGGGGGCTGGAGGGTGGCCCCGGGCCTGCCTCTCACTGCGTGCTTGGCTCCTGCACAGAGATTTTGAGGGTCGAGCCCCTACCTGCTTCGGCCCCCGGCCCCCCAGGACGCCAGGCGCCCTCCACCGTCAGGTGCGGATCCCACAGATGCCCGCCCTGCTGCGCCCCAGGACACCTCTGGGCTCTCCAGCTGGGTACTGGAAACGAGTGGGGCACTCGGAGTGCTCCGCCTCCTGTGGGAAAGGTGAGGTGCACGCGCTGTCCTGAGCCCCGGGGGCCGCCCCTCAGCTCTGATGCCCCACGGACGCTGGATGCCGGGGGGGCCCCGGCTTCCCTCATCCCTTCAGGTGTCTGGCGCCCCATCTTCCTCTGCACGTCCCGCGAGTCGGGAGAGGAACTGGATGAACGTAGCTGCGCTGCGGCCACCAGACCCCCGGTCTCCCCGGAGCCCTGCCATGGCCCCCCGTGTCCCCCATAGTGAGTGTCCCGCAGGGAGACCCAGGGCCCAGGGGGGCGGGCGTCCTCAGTGCCCGCCGGGGCTCCCGGGCCTGCGCGCCAGCCGGCCGTGGACACCGTGTCTGCTGAGAAAGGCCCGTCCCGGGGAGCGGGGTCGCCCCGGCTGCCCCCCCCAGGCGCCCCTGCCCGCGCGGCCTGCACATCTGCTCTGTGCCTCTCCCCGCCCGCGCCACAGCTGGGAGGCCGGCGAGTGGACGTCGTGCAGCCGCTCCTGCGGCCCCGGCACCCAGCACCGCCAGCTGCTCTGCCGGCAGGAGTTTGGGGGCGGTGGTTCCTCGGTGCCCCCCGAGCGCTGCGGGCACCTCCCACGGCCCAACATCACCCAGCCCTGCCAGCTGCGCCTCTGCGGCCACTGGGAGGTCCGCTCGCCCTGGAGCAAGGTGAGCAGGCCTGGGGGGAGGCCCCGGGGCTGGGGGGCCCTGAGCAGTGGGTGCGGCAAGGCAGAGCAGTGGTTTCGCAGCTCTTCACTCAGCAGAGGCTGGTTATAGGGGGGGGGGGGGCTCCCGGGTGAGGTAAGAGCCTGAGGCGGGTCTTGGGGGCCCAGAGCTGGTGCTCAGCCTGCGCCTCCGCCCACAAAGCCGAGAGCCTGCTGAGCTGGAGTCACCGGCAGATTCTAGTCTAAAGCCGCAGAGCCCGAGGCTGGGGGGGGTCACCTGGCAAGCCCAGACCCTGGGTCCCCCATCCCTCAGTGCTCCGTGAGGTGCGGCCGAGGCCAGAGGAGCCGCCAGGTTCGCTGCGTGGGAAGCAACGGAGAGGAAGTGAGCGAGCAGGAGTGCGCCTCGGGGCCCCCCAGGCCCCCCAGCAGAGAGGCCTGCAACATGGGGCCCTGCACGACGGCCTGGTTCCACAGTGCCTGGAGCACCAAGGTGGGCCCCTCACCTCTCGCGGAGGCCCTGCCCCTAGTGCCCCCCCAGGACACCTCTCAGAGCCTTTCCAGCAGCCTCAGTGAGTGCTTGTTGAGCAAGCGCCTACTACGCGCTCGATGCTGCTGATGCCCAGCATGGAGCTGAGAACAATAGCAGGTCTTGGACCCGGGCAGGGGGTTCCCTCACCTGCAGGCCCGTCCTGGGAGCACCCCACGCCCCTCCTCTTCCCCAGCCACCACAGCCCCCCTCAGCTGCCGCCCTGCCGCCCCACAGTGCTCGGCCGAGTGCGGGACGGGGATCCAGCGGCGCTCCGTGGTCTGCCTGGGCAGCGGGGAGGCGCAGGAGGCCGGGCCCAGCGAGCAGAGCTGCGCGCCGGGCAGCCGCCCCCCGGACATGCGCGCCTGCAGCGTGGGGCCCTGCGAGCCGAGCCGGCGCTGGTACACCGGGCCCTGGGCGGAGGTGAGCCGGGCCGCGCGGGGGGGGGCGGGGGGCGCGCGGGCGTGACCCTGTCCCCTCCCTCCCGCAGTGCTCCTCGGAGTGCGGGGCGGGCACCCAGCGCAGGGACGTCATCTGCGTGTCCAAACTCGGGGCCGAGTTCCACGTGACCGCCCCCGCAACTGCTCCCACCTGCCCCGGCCCCCTGCGCTGCAGCCGTGCCAGGGCCAGGGCTGCCAGGACCGCTGGTTTTCCACACCCTGGAGCCCGGTGAGCCCCGGCTTCCAAGGGGGCTCCCTCTCCCTGGGCCGCCCCCTCCCCCCGCCCCGTGTCCCACAGCAGGGCCGCGGGCTCGACACCAGCCGCCTCGCCTGAGGCCCGCTGGGCCCCCAGCTGGGATTTCAGGGTCCGCCCCCCCCCCCGCCCCCAGCTCGTCCTCCCAGGGGCGCGGCTGGGAGTCAGGGGGAGCCTGGGGCCACAAAGGTCTGACACGACACTGGGGTCTCCCCAGTGCTCTCGCTCCTGCCAGGGGGGCGTGCAGACGAGGGAGGCCCAGTGCCTGACTGCCAACCAGACCCTCGGCCTCCGCTGCCCCGGCCACCTGCGGCCCTCCCGGAAGCGGCCCTGCAACAGCCAACCGTGCGACCAGCGCCCAGGTGGGGCCCCGCCCCGGGGGGGCTTGGCGGGGCGCGGGGGGCGGGGAGCGCGGGCCGCGCCCCCCCGGGGTGACCTCGGTGACCGGCGCTCTGCCCGCAGACGACCAGTGCCAGGACGACTCCCCGCACTGCCCCCTGGTGGTGCAGGCGCGGCTCTGCGTGTACCCCTACTACACGGCCGCCTGCTGCCGCTCCTGCGCGCACGCGCTGCGGCGCCCCCCGCCCGAGCCCGCCTGAGGCGCCCGCCCCGACTGCTGGTTTGCCCCCGCCACCCGTGGAGCGGCTCCTCGGCACCCCGGCTGCCCTGCCTGCCCTGGCCCGGCCGGGGCTGTCCCCCAGGGGCGGCCGGAATGCAGTCGGGGTGTGAGCGGGCCCGCGAGCCGCGCCTCAGAAAGACAGGAGCGGCCGGAGAAGGGGGCGCGAGGGGTGCGGCCTCTCGCCCGGAGACGCCCCTAGGCTGCGCGGGGCTCGGGCCACCCGGGGTCTCCCGCGCCCCAGTTCTCGGGGAGGCCTCGCACCTGGCGGCCCAGCCCTGCGGCCCCGGCCCCAGGGGGACTCGACGCCCCTCCGCAGAGCAGCCGCGACGGCGCGCGGGGAAACTGCTCGTGCGCGACGCCCCGGCCCCCGGCCCCGGCCCCGTCTTCTAAAGCCCTCCCCACCCCAGAACTAATTTATTTTTTATTAAAGCCGATGACGACAAATGAGAAACAGGCTCTTCCTTGTCCTCAAAGGGCCCTTGTGCAGCCGCCGGAGCCAGCGCGTGAGGTCAGCGCGGCAGGGGCCGCGCCTCGAGGCCGGCGCGGGGCCGGGGGGGGGCCGGGGGGCCGGCGCGGGCTGCAGGCGGGCCCGGCCGCCAGGGGTCAGCGCTCCTCGCGGCCGCGGGCGCCGGCCGGGCCGCATCTGTCACGCCGGCGGCCGGCGGCGTCTCTCGACTTGGGACGGGGCGGCCGGCGGCTCGGCCTCCTCCCGGCCCCTGCCTGGCCGTCCTCCCCTCCCGGGCCGACCTGCGGGCCGCGGCCGCTCACAGGACCGCGCCGAGGCAGCGGCCCCCGACCCCCGCGCCTGCCGTCGGCGGAAGCGCGGGGGGCGGGCCGGGCCCGGTTCGGGACGCCGGGCCGGGCCGCCGAGCCGGGCCCGGGCGGGCCCGGGCGGGCCGGGGTGTCCTGCCAAGGCGCATTCCTCGGAGCTGCCTCACGCCGGGCTCCTCCCGCCCGCCCGCCCGCGCACCTCTAGGTAACTGGCCCGCCGCGGCCGGCGCGAGGGGGCGGCCGTGTCCCTGCCCCTCGGAGGCCGAGCCCTGGGCCGAGCTCCAGCAGCCAGACCCCGCGGGCCCAGAGCCGGGACGCCCCCTGGAGGCGCCCGCCCCCGCCCTGCCCCTCCTCAGGCCGGGGGCCGCGCCCTGCGCCGCGGGGGAACTCGTGCCGCCGCCCGCGACGCCCGCCCACCCCGTGCCGGCCCCCGGGCTGCCCCTGCCGCCGCGTCGCCGGGGCCTGGCGGCCATCTTGAGGGCGTGAGGGGGGGGAAGCGGCGGGATGAGGGGGGGAAGCGGCGGGATGAGGGGGGAAGCGGCGGGATGAGGGGGGAAGCGGCGGGATGGGGGAAAGGAAAATGAAACCGACGAGCCAGCGCGAGGGAAGGGGCGTGAGTGAGGAAGCCCGGCCGGCGTCCGCCCAGCGCCAGGGGCCCGCGGAGCCCGCCAGGGGGCAGAGGCGTGGGCGGGAGGCGGCCCTGAGTCAGCGGGGAGATACGGGGCCGAAGGCCGGCGCGGGGGGCGGGAGGGCGGCCCGGGCCCTCCCAGCGATTCCTGGAAGCCGCGGGCGGGCGGCGGCGCCGGCTCAGCTGACTTCCCTGCAGTCCCTCCCCGCCGGGCCCCGCGGCTGTTGCCGGGCAGGTTTAGAGCCGGGCCGGGCCCGGGAGCCAATCACAGGTGGGGGACGCGGCCCAGCCCTGGGAGGGAGCCCCCGGCTCCAGCACCTCTTTCTCTTTCCGCGAGCCCGCGGCCCCCTCGCGGCCCCCAGCCGCCGGCTCCAGGGTGTGGGCTTCCCTCTCGGGTTGGCCCCGTCCCCCGCCCATGTTCAGGCCAGGATTAAGTGCAGCCCCTCTGGACCCATTTCCCTGGCCACGGAGGTCAGGATGGGGTCAGTGTGGAAGTTTTCAGGAAGGGGAACCGGACCCTAAGGGACCCCTGTGCCGGGCCCCTCTGATAAAGCAAGCGTGTGGCCAGACACCTCCGTGACCTCTGAAACCCCCTGCAGGGACTTGGGAGAGAGGCAGCTGCAACCCGAGGCCAGGGCGAGGTGGTGCAGGCCCCCAAGCTGGGTGCAGAGGTGGTGTGGCCCCCAGGCTGGGGGTGGGGGGGTGGGGGAAGGACTGGAGGACGTGGACCCCTATGAACTGAGGTGGGGGTGGGTTGGCGATAGAAACAATTTGATATGCGCAGGGCTCCCCATTCCAGTACTGGCTGGGGGAGGGGGCTGTGGCTCCGCATCCGTGTGCTTGGGAGTGCGCGTGAGGTCTCGGGAGTGCGCGTGAGGTCTCAAGTGCAGCTGGGTCAGAATTCCTCGCCCCTCCCCCCTCCCAGCGCCCCCAGAGCAATTACCCACCCTATTAAGCGGTAACCTTCAGACTAAATTTAGCTCCTAGACTTCCCCAACCCCAGGGCCTCCCAGTAAGCAGGTGCTCGCAGCTGCAGGGGTGGGCCTGTGGAGACCCAGGCGGTCACCTCCACTCCAGATGCTGCCTTGGGGAGCCTGCGTGTGGCTGTGCCGGCTCAAGCACCTTCCCTCAGGGGACCTCTAGAGAACTGTGGTTGGGGACCCTGGATGGACCTCGCGGGCAGAAGGACCATGAAGGAAGAGGGGACAAAGTGCAAGGAGAAGCTCCCTCCAGATTCTGTCCAGTCAGATCCTCTTTCATTTCTTGCTTTCCCCTTCTCCCCAGTTTTGCAAACAGACTTTTAACTGAACACCCTTCCAGAGGGCGTGGAACGTGGGAGATCATGGCTGTCCTGAGTGTGTCAGGACTCAGGACTCTCCCCCCCCCCCCCCCCCGGGGTCCCCTCAGATAGTTGGCAGGGGGCCTATTTGTTACAGGTGATGAAGTGGCATCAGCTTTCAAGGGCAGGGAGGGAGGCACCTTCCACAGGAAACATCTGAGGAAAGTACCGAAGTCTCAGCCTGTCAACAAGAGAGCTCAAGCTGGGCTTGAGTCTGCTTCACGCTGACAGCAGACGGGGAGATTCAGAGGGAGGGGGCTCCGGAGCTCGGGTCTGAAGGTAGAGGACTTGAGGAAGGGGTGTGCAAAACTGAGGACCAGGTCCGCGTGAGCCTGGCGGTCAGATCCAGGGGAGCCCCAGAGGGGGTGCTGGGCGGCGGCGTAGGGGTGGCCTGGGCCTCAGGAGGTCCCCGGGCTGGGGCTAGGATGTGGGCGTTGAATTGAGCGTCAGGGTCTCTTTGAAGACAGCTCTTCGGAACTCTGCGTGAGGAAAAGAAACTGGGGGAAAGCACAGACTGCATCCCTGGGGTCCGCCTGGGCTTAAAAAGCAGGGTGGCAAAGGCCCTGCCCCCCCCCCTTTTTTACGTTGCTATCACTGGAGAACCGAGCGATCCGAGCCGTGTCACCAGGGGCTACGAGTAAACGCACAGCCCACATGCAAATCCACGGGCACTGCAGGTGTCCGTCAGGCTGAGGCTGGGAGGGGCAGCGTGTGCTCCCAGGCCCCTTTCTCTCGCCCCTCCCTCCCCCTGACCACGGATTCCTGGTTGCCAGCCTCTTGCATCACTAAGGCCCCTTGTCAGTGCTAGTCAAGGAGGGGGCAGCCCTCTTCTTGGAAGGACCAGAGAGTAATTCAGGCTCCGCAGGCACCTGCTGCTGTTGCGGCAGGAAGGCGGCCCTGGACAGGCGTGAGCCGACAGGGCGCCTGTGTTCCCTTGAACTTTATGCCACTTAACTTTTAATGTCCTGTCGTTTTAACGTGTCACAAAGTGGTTTCTTTCGATCTTTTGAAAAATGCAGAAACCATGCCTAGCTCCGGGGCGGGGGGGGGGGCGGGTCCTGGGGCAGTCCGCTGACCTCCCCCAGACTTTTCCATCCAGCTGGACTGCTCTGCCCACCCAGCCACAGAAAGCCCAGTTTGTGTGCCCTCTGGGCTTTGAAATACAGCTGAAGAGTCTTTCAATCCGACATCCTGTCTCTGATGCCATTCTCAGGGGCCTCTCCCTGGGGGATCGAGCTGAGAGATGGCCCACAGGAAACCCTTAGAGGTGTCCCTGACATTCCTCAGTTGTACAGCTTCACGGCACTTGCACGCATGTTCTCTTGAATTCCGCACAGTAAGCCAGGAAGACAGTGGCTGAAGCCAGTTTACAAGGGAGAACATTTAAACCTGAAACTGCGGCTCCTTTTTTTTCACTTTTGAAATTCTACCCCATTCTTTGGTTCTAGTACTCACCTCCAGCCCCACAGGGCACCTTACCTGATTATCAATTTCCTCAAAAATCCCAGAGTGATCCAGAACTTGGATGGCTCGAAGAGTTTTTGTTATTTTCAAATGTCATTCACTACTTTCAGCATTTTGGGTAATTATTATTTTTTTGACCCAAAATTTCAAGGACTTAAAACTCTTTTCAAATGTATTCACTATTTTGGGTTTTTAAAAAAGATTTATGCATAGAATTGGAGTGCGGACCAGAGATGGGGGCGGGGAGTGAGAAGATTCACCAGAGACAGTGGGGGCAGAACAGGCAGATCCACCAAAACACACTGGCAAGGGGAGCAGCGGGCAGACAGGAGAGGTCTGCCGCACCATGTGGGTAGCTCCCTAGCCCGGGATCAAACCCAGGCAGCAGTGATAGCCCTGAGACTCAGTGCCTAGGCCACCAGGGAGGCCCATCAAATGTATTCAGTATTTTAGTCCAAGGAAATAAATGTGTGATCTCCAAGGTATGTTGTCATGTAAACAAAGGCTTATGTATTACTAGTTGAATGAGGGGTTTTCCTGGTGAAAAACTTTATCACTAAAGTTCTGTGCTTTATGCTCTGCACTTAAAAGCGATGCCCTCTTTCTGAAATGCCATCTGGGTTACCTACCAGAGCTCATTCTGCATTAGATGTTTCCTTTACCCCAGTGGCATCCCTGCAGCTTTCACGGCTCCCAGGGCTGGGGAAAGGTACACACATCTCTGTCCTGCTTGGGCCTCACCCCAACTTTGAGAAAAGGGGTTGGTTGTTCCTCAAAGAAGAAAACAAGTCACCTCATTTCAAAACACAGAGACAAAACCTCTTTCGACACCAACTTGTTTCCTTCTTTCTGTTTCTCTACTTTGCCTCAAGAGGGTTTCTGAGAAATGAAAATAACGTCACCTCCCACAACCTCAATCTGCAGTTTTTTAAATGAGGGAGGGTTGGGAGTGTTCCGCTTCAGCCAATTTTATCAACCTCAAACTTCGCAAAGTAGGAGAAAAGCCCTTCCAGAGGTGGGCTCCCCTGGCCTGCCTCAGAGCTGGGCTCACAGGGCCTAAGGAAATAAACAAACTATCCTCTCAGGAAATTTCAGTAACAAAGCAGTGACACCAGACAGCTGCTTGCTCCAGGAGCCCAGCTGTCTCGTCCACACCCCGCCCCTCCATTTCCATGGAAGCCAGAGATGGGTGGGGAGCTCGTCCAGGCACCTCAGGAAAGGAAGTGTCAGCGGAGGAGAACATACATGAAAGATGGGGCAGGTGCCCAGGGGTAAAATGCACAAAGCCACGTTTCCAGGGGAAACTACTCCCCCTTCACACCTGAACACCTAGAGTCGTGGCTTGCGGGTCAGGGAGGCGAGGGATATTCAAAGCCAGCTATTAGACAAGAAAGCTCACTTTTTCTAGGGGGGCCAGGCCTCTTGTTAAAGGTGTTTCTTAAAGTGGGAAACTCATCTAATTCACAATGAACCCCAACAGTTAAACGTTCTAGTCCTGTTTCCTTGGCGCTCTCCCAGCACACCTTGTCCCAGCTCACTTGAATAAACACATGTGACTGCGGGAGGGTGGGAAGCAGCCAAGTGGGGGAGGGTGAAGTTCTGAATGGAATGCAGCTCCAGCCTGCTCGGGCCTCTGGCACCGCCGTGGATTTATACAGAGAAGCCAAAACAATGAGCTCATGGGCAAGAATGCAGCCCGTGGGCAGCCAGAGCCGCTGATCTTTTGAACCAGGATGGGAATAGCTGGGACAGAGGCTCCCACGGGAACAGGATTAGGGGAGAGCGGGAGCCATGCGTGTCTTGGGGTCCAGTTATGTAACTTTTGGGGGCTGTCACAGGTAAAATTACAAAGAGCGGTGCCCTCAAAATGCCCTTTCCCTGGCACGTGACCTTAGGAGGGTAAAGGATGAGCAGGCTGGAGAGTGAGCTGCCCAGGCGGTGCTGCTACACCTGAGGGCCCCTCCCCCACCGAGACCCCAGCCTCTGAGGGTGCGTCCCCTTTCTCAGACAAGCAAGCAATCCATCCAGCGGATTTCGAAGACCAGAGAGACATCTCCTTTCCCCCCTCCCACAAATTCCCATTACTCTTGTCAAGGACCCTGGGCGGAAGAAACCAGAGACACCCTATTAACTGGCCACACGTGGTAAAGGGGAAGGCGGGCAGGGTGGGGAGACAAACTGAAAAAAATTACCTACAAATCTGTCACACCTTAGAGACCTTTCCAGCTCCAGGCTGTGGTGCATGTTTCTTTCTTACTCATTCTTTGATCTAAGATCCAGCCTCCAAGGTTCCCTCTGAAAGCTGCTGACCACGCCCTCCCAGTGGGCTTCCTGCCGGCACACCCCTGGCCTCTCAAGCCTTTACTATGGCGCGCCACGTCCTGCTTTCCAATCATCTGTCCATGCCTTTCGCTGAGATCGTGAACTTTACTGTTTTGCCAGAATTACTTTCCTATTCTATGGATTCGTTATGCTAACATTCCTCAGTATCTGTCTCCTAAGAACCAGGACATTCTCTTCCATAACACAAGGTAATTAATACTCAAAGGTTAACACTGATACAGGCAATGCCTGGAGCAAAACTTCCACTGTGCCATGTCCTCTACAGCCTTCTCCTCAGGGACCCAGAGATCACCATGCACCTATGTGCGTGTCCGCTTGCTTCCTCTAGCATTTTCTGACCGAGTCACAAGGGCAATCTTGCAATTCCTGCATCTTACAGCTTGGCCCAAGGTCCTGTTGCGTGGTGAACAAATGAAAGGCCCAACACACACTCAGCTGCCTAGAGCTCATTACATGGCCCAGCTGACTGCAGTGAACAATTCTTAATAAATTAAGGTAATTCCTGAAGAGGGGGTGAGATTTAAGTGAATAGAGACACCAAAGGCAGAGATGAGCCATGGAAATGGTGTTTATTTGGAAAAGGTAAAATCCACGCTCTGACCCTTACACATTTCCAAACGGGAACTACTATTCTGAACAGGTTGGGAAAGGAACTGCAAGAGAAAGAAGATGCAGTTTGAGAAAAAACTTTTCACATGGACTTCAACAAAACAAAACAAAAACCTTAAAAGAATCTTTGGTTAAAAAAGAACACTGAGGGCCTCCCTGGTGGCGCAGCGGTTGAGCGCTGGGTTGCGAAGCTGCCCGCGGCCTCTGCAGCGCCGGTTCGATCCCCGGCTGCTCCCCGGCCACTGGAGGAGGGTCCCACATGGCGCGCAGACCTCTCCTGCCGCCCGCTGCTCCCCTCAGCAGTGTGCTTCGGTCCTTCTGCCTGCTCTGCTCCCCGCTCTGGCTCTGGTGAATTCTCTCACCCTCCCGCGCTTCTGACTGTACCCAGTGCATGTATAAACAAACAAACAAAAAAACAAACAAAAAAAAACATGCCTCTCTAAAAAAAAAAAAAAAAAAAAAAAAGAACACTGAGGGCCTCCCCTGTGGTGCAGCAGTTGAGCGCTGAGTTGCGAAGCTGCCAGCAGCCTCTGCAGCACCGGTTCAATCCCCGGCTGCTCCCCGGCCTCCGGAGAAGGGTCCCACCATGGATGGTGCACAGACCTCTCCTGCCGCCCGCTGCTCCCCTCAGCAGTGTCCTTAGGTCCTTCTGCCTGCTCTGCTCCCCGCTCTGGCTCTGGTGGGTTCTCTCACCCTCCCCCGCTTCTGCTGTACCCAGTGCTTGTATAAATAAATAAATCTTAAAAAATAGTAATAATGTTTAAAAGAAAAAAAAAACACACAAATTCTGGAGAAATGTCTGTTCTGTCAGCCTCGAGGCAGATTCCCAGCCCCCACCTTTCCACATGCTTCACATAGCTAAGATAACACTCATTTCACAGCCAAAGGAGGTCAGAGTAAAACTTTCCAATCTTGAAGGAATGGGCCTTTGATCATTGTGGGAAGGTTCAAGACAAAGTTCTGCAATCATTCAAACCAGGGGAGCCAGACAGAGCTAGATAATGGGTTCATCATCCCTAACTCCAGGAAATGGCCAGGGCTCTGGGCATCTCGCTGGAGCCACACCACATACCAGTTGCACAAATTATTTCACTTTTTGTAAAATCTTCCAGCTGTCACAACTGCTTTAAATTTTTCTGGAAGCCAACAGTATGAAGCAAGAGCTGGCTCTCAAATTGCGAAACAGGAACTGAGAAGTCTGGTTCTGTCGAGAAGGGGAATGACTATCTTGATTCCTCTAAGTTGCCATTTGACCAGCTTTTAAAATGTTAAACATTGTGACAGCCTCCTGTCACAAGGTATGACTCGGAGCAACCCCATTTCACTGGGCTCAGGCTGGAGTCCTGGGTCCAATCATGAGTGGGAAGGGCACAAGTCAGCTTTTTCTGCAATGATAAAAAGTTGCCATCTTCTGGCAGGCTCCAGGAGGCAGCTTTCCAAGCAGAAATGCACTTTTGAAAGCAGACAAAACCTGGATGGGCACTAGCACAGGCTCCAGTTTGCAAGATCAGTATTTAGTGCTCAGGTGTGCAAATCTATTTGCTCATTTTCCTGGTGCTTTCCACTCCCCCTTTTGAGGTAGCTAAAAATACTGGATAGGCTTTCTGAAATTGATCTATCCAGAGAATTCCTTTTGGGGAGAGGGAAAGAAAGTACCAATTCTTCTGGCTCCTCCACCTCAAAAGATTGAAGATGAAATAACTGCCTAGTGAAGCCTCTTACTCAAAATTACACTAGGCATTTGATGAAAATCCAGGGGCCTCCCTGGTGGCACAAGGGGTTAAGCACCGCACTATGAAGCAATCGCAGCCTCTGCACACAAGTTCGATCCCCGGCCAGGGAGCAACCCACATGGTGCAGCAGACCTCTCCTGTCTGGCCCGCTGGTCCCCTCAGCAGTGTATTTTAGTCAGTCTGCCTGTTCTGTTCCCCACTGTGTCTGGCTAATCCTCTCACAACCCCCCACCCCTGCATCTCTGGCCTGTACCCCCCCTCTTATATGCATAAATAAATGAATCTTGAAAAAACAAAACAAAACATGCATAAATAAATGAATCTTAAAAAAACAAAACATAAAACCAGGACATGGATTTTGATTTTTGTACCCTTAAGTACAGTAGTAATCTACTTAAAAACACAACTCATTTGAATGAAAGTGATTATTCTGAAAGGACTTGTCCTTTGCTTTAAGGCAACTCAGCTTTATGGGGCCTCTTAACTCACCTATGCTCATTGGCTCATGAGACTTCCCCAAAAGGCTTGACTACGAGGGGGAAGGAAGACGGCCCATAAATCAGAAAACACCCATACCACACCTTCAATTTGAATAAAAGATTTATTATTTTCTTCTCAGGAAAAACAGGAAGTTAGGGAAACACTACATTTTACAGCCCGCATTAATCTGTAGTTGGTCCTAAGCCTTCCTGGCAACAGCTGTCAACAGCATTAACTGTTTAACCAGAACCAAAATGTCAACCCCCAGAGAATACACATGGATGACACCAGAGACCCACATGTCTTTCCCTGAGAGAAGTGTAAGACAGACAAGTTGCTGAGAGCCACCTTTCCAAGCAGCCCCTCCCTTCCCATCCTGGAGGATTTGCCTGTGTGATGCAGCTAGTCAGCAATTTTACAACACTTGCCTCCTCTCCCTATAAACCAACCCCCCCCTTTTCCCAAAGCACTTGGGCTCCCCAACCATCACAACCCCAACACAACATTTCAACTGAGACCCTCACCTACATTTCAACAGTCACACCTAGTAAATTGGAAATGGGGACCCTAAACTCCACCAGTTTTCATCTATGCACTTACTTCCACACAGGGTATGGGGAAACAGGCCTTTTCGCCACCATAACCAGATCTTAAGATCAAAAACTACATAAAGTGCTTGTAGGTATTTAGAGAGACACATGATATAAATAAGTGGTTTATGATCAAGATAAATACACAAGCAAAATAGCTCTAGTTAGATTACCTATGGCTCGGAGGTGGGCAGGCATGACAATTCTCCCATTACATTCTCAGTCATTTAATTTATGCCTATTTTTATCTGAAGTCCACAGATTAAAGGTCATGTTCTGAAGTTTTTAGTTTACCAGTAGCTTTTTTTTGTAACTCTTTGAGACTTCATGGACCCCACTTCTTTGTATAAAATTTAACATTCAAATGCAAAGGAATATAAAAGAAAAATCACGATTGTTTCCCTTCTACGGAAATCCCTAAAAGGACTTTTCCAAGTAATGACAGAACCACCAAAAGGGTGCATTCAAAAAAGGGACTCCTCCCACCTCAAGACTGCTGCCACAACAAGCCAGGACACCACTACCCCCAAGATACAATTTGTGAAAGCTGGAGGTCTGTGGACTCCAGGGGAGAGCAGTGGGCTTACTCAGATTACTAGTACCAAGCTCCAAAAGGACTAACAGTTCAAAAACGGCTAGGTTCAGACGCAGGAAAAATCTGTTCAGGGAGCAGAATAAGCAGCAAATATTCAAAGGAAGAATAGCAAATAAATGCTAAGTTTTAAAGAATATCAAATCTGAAATCAAAGAGATGCCAGTGCAAAAATTTGAAACAAAGTTTGGGAACCAGTAATAAAAATGAAACAGTATTTGTTTTATTGATAAAACTAGGCTCAGACCTGTCCTTAAACAAGCCTAATAATAGCACCATGGTTAGACTATAGCCTGCTTTTCTAAGACATCGTTTTACGTTTATATTATGCAAACAAGGGATCAAATGTCTCTCCATGCACCTGATGGGATCTTTTTATACACACACTTAGTCGTCCCATTTGGAACAGCTGAATATCTTTTAATAAAGGCTTTGAAGATGAGCTCATGAACTCAAGTTTAATTTTACCAGTTAAATTCTGTCAAATGGAAAGAACTCAATTGTGTAGCAGCCCAATCAGAGCCCATTATTTTGAAGTCATCACCCTGTGGCGCATTCCCCCCTCACCAAAAAACAAACCCTTAAAACTCCAACTTAATTATTCAAAACTTACATGTAACAAAGTGAAAGGACTGATTTTCCTTTCCTCAACTTCTCAACTCTAGGTTTGTTTTTAAAAAAAAAAAAATCCCATCTAAAGAGTACTTACCAAAATCAGGCAGGAAAATAAAAACCTGCAGTTACCAATCAGAGCTGTTCCACTACAACCAAACTGCATACAATTAACATCAATTGGTTCCATATACATTCTAGAACTGACCAGGACATTTATAATAGAAAAGCTGTAAGAAATAGGTTCCTAACTACTAAGTTGTAAATTTCAAAAGGGTATGAAAAACATGTAAATTTGACTGTTTACATTTCAAGGAAATAGACTCTGTAAAAATATATACATTTTTACAGACATACATTTACAACAAGTCATTTCAAAAATTGAGGATATTCCACATTTTAACTGCAATCATTGAGCCTTAAGTCAAGTATTCTTGGCCATTAACTAGGCTAATAAACTAGGAATCACTCAAACCAAACCAAAGGTATAAAACCCTTAAACACTCAAACTTGTCAATAAGTACACCCGGGAAAGCTCATTAAAGGATAAAAGCTTCCCTTCACACTCTGTTGTACAGTACTGAGGCTTCGAGTCATAGGTCTGTTTCTTGTAGCTTAAATCCACACCACACAGCCATCACTGGTCTTAGAGCATCTCCTTTTTCAACACTATTAGGAAGTAAATAAACTCGAAGGACGTGTTTACTGAACTATGACTAGCCTGGCTACTGGCCACTCTCCTGTTCTAGACAAGGGAATTAAGTTTCTCCACCGTCTTTGCTAAATCTCAAGTCCCCCTCCTCCATCCATGGCCTCTCAAAAGTTTGCCTATAGGTAAAACTAAACTTTGCTTCTTTCAAACAGTGACTCTTCAAGGACTACTTTTCCCAAGTATTTATTCCTGTTACCCAGAATCCCCTTGCCACTTGCTTTTCTACGCTTGCTAGAGCAGAACTCTTGGAGGTTACAGCCTGGGCAACTTGAAGTCCAACTTCATAAATACACTTGATTTCACAGCAGTCGTTATGTGGTCTTGGTGGCTGGAGTTGGTTAAGAGTCAATATTGCACTTAAAGGCTATCTTATTAGATATGCCAGACCAGCTCCGACTCCAGCAACACCTGCAAAAGCCAGCAGCACATTTCTGATGCCACCTTCTAGGTCCTCTACATGGAAGAAATCCACAAACCCATCCTAGAAAACAAAAAAGAGAGTAATCTTCAAGTATGGGTTTCTGCTGGCTTAAAAAGCACTATTTACAGGGAATACATGGGTGGGGCAACCCAAGTCTCCTGCCCCCCCCCCACCTCAACGAACCCATTTGGCTGGAAGGAACACGCCCTACACACTGCAGTGAGCACCCAGAGTAGTTAAAAGGGGTTAAAAGGGAACTTTACAGCAGCACCTTAGTCGTGCAACTTAAGAAGGACGTAAGTTTCCATTACTTAGACGAAAGGCACAAGCTCTTACCCTCCAGACCAGCCGCTCTGTAGACCCTGTTCTCAGTGTGGCTCCCCACCTCCCACGTCCAACTGGAGCCATTTGGCTCTAAGTTCGAAATGCAGGCCCCACCCATATCTGTTCAACTAAAATGGAACGGGGAGAGCACATGAGGCAGTTTACCATCACTCCCAGGTGATTCTTATGTTTTCATAATTTGACTCCACAGGTAATGGTGAATATCCAGCTAAATTACAATAAAATATCAGACGCAAAAGACTCTAGGACCAGCACAAGAGCCCAGAGGATAATCAGGACCCCGGATGCGGCATCCGCCACAGCCACATCACTCCTTCATGGCCCCATGCAGCTGGGCGTCCCGAGGAGCCTGAAAGCGAGCTAGGCCTCCAAAAACCATCTGGCTCACCCCACTTCCAGGAAGCCCTCCTGAAGCTTCCAGCGAACTTACCCAGCCTCTTTGTTTGACTAGCCACTCTCGTTTCGTCCTGACGAGGACGTCTGTGATGCTTTCTGCTAACGGGTCGATGCAGCTTTCTTGGTTTATGCTCTTCAAGTGTTTGGCCACAAAGGCACCAAAAGAAATAAGAGTCACAATCCTGCCCCAGTTGGTTACTCCATCGCTGAAAACGTGGACCATCACCCGAGACAAGGACTTGACGTCGTCCTCGCCCTTGATGTCCAGCTTCCGCAGCATGCCTGCGGGGAGAAGCGGCGGCCTCAGCGCCTTTGTCTCGCCGGCCCACCCGCGGCGCGGCCGCCCCCACCTGCGCGCGGCAGCCCACCCTTTCCGGGCCGGGAGCAGCGCTGCCGTTTCCACGGGAATCGAGGGGCGGAAACAATGACTCACGGCCAGAAAATCCTGGCCTCGGAAAGACCTGCGCGGCGCGTCCGGCCCGCCTCGCCCCTTCCACCCCGCGGGGCGCCCGGGCGCGGCCCTACCTTGGAAGGCCGTCTGGTGGTTGCGCTGCACGCCGTCCCCCACGCGCCGCAGGGTCTCCAGCGCCTTCCGGCCGGCCGCGCCGGGGCGGCCCAGCGGCTTGGCGTCCTTGGCGCCGGTCGCCTGCTCGCGGAGGTACCGGGAGATGATCTCCAGCGACTGGCGGTACAGCTCGTCCTCCTCCTCCTCCGCCGGCGGCGGCGTGGACGGCAGGGAGCCGTCGGTGCCCGAGGCGCTGCCGGCCTCGCCCACCAGCCCGCGCAGGGGCAGCACCGCCGGCCGCTTCCCCGGGGGCTCCGGCTCGTACCCGTCCAGCTCCTCCTCGGGCGACATGATGGCGTCGGCGGCCGGCGCTGCCATCTCCTGAGGCGGCGGCGCGCGGCGGGCGGGCGCGAACAACAGCCGCCGCGCGGGGGTCGCCGTGACGTCGAGGCCGTCGGCGCCAATGGGCGCGGGCCGCGCGACCCTCCGGGCGTCCGGCGCGAGGGCGGCCGGGGAGCCCGCGCCGGCGCCGCCGCCCATCAGCGCGCCGGCCTCCCCTCCCCCGGCCTCGCGCCGGGCCGCGGCCTCCTTGCCCGCGGCCGAGAGCCGCCCCGCCGGCGGCCCCGCGTCCCCGCCGCTGCCGGCCCCCACGCCGGCGCCGCCGCAGTAGAGGTTGAGGCCGATCACCGCGTTTCTCCTGAAGCCGAGCATCGCGTCGCGCGGAGGCCGGCGGGGGCGGGGAGGGCGCCGGACCGCTCGGGGGGAAGAGGAACTGGAGAGTGAGGGCCCCGCGCCCCGCTCGCGGCTTTAGGCCGTCCCACCCGCGCGGCGCCGCCCAACGGGAAGGGCGCCCATAAAAGGGGGAGGGGCGGGCGCTTCCGGCGCTGCGCACGGCCCGGCGGCCGCGGGGCGGGGCTTCCGGCGCCCGACCTCTCGCGGCGCGCGGCGTGACGCGGCGTGACCCGGCGCCGGCGCGGGTGGGCGGGGCCCGCGGGGACGCGCCCGGGGCCCGCGGGGGCTCTGCGGAGGCCCTTTGCTCGGACGGAGGGCCCCGGCCCGACCCGCGGAGCTGAGGGAGGCGCGCGAGGAAGGCGCGCCCGGTGGGCAGGGCCGCCTCCGAGAGGGAGGGGGACGCCCTGGGGGTCTCCGCGCCTCCCGACGTCCTGGGAACGGCCGCCCCGTGGGCCGCTCTGCCGGGCCCCGCGCCTGTCGGGGCCTGAGACCAAATCGAGCTGCCCCAACTCCGTGCCAGCCCGGCCGCCGCGCCTGCTCCCGCCCTCCGCCGCCTCCGGAAAAGCCTCACTCGAATAGCCGCTCGTGGAGCCGGACGCCCCTTGAGCATTCCCTATAAGGCGCGTTAGACGAGGGGTGACCTCGAGGACGAGGGGCCCGCTGTGCACGTGTCAGTTACCACGACCCGAATAAACCTTGTTGAAAAGACGTGGGGGGGGGGAGCTGGGATTCCAGGACAAGGCATGTGAGGGACGTGAGCAGGAGAGGCGAGAGGGGCCTCGTGCCCAGCGTCAGCCCGGAGCTGAGCTCGGGCTCCGGCACCCACCGCGACGTATGTGGGCAGGCCCTGGAGTCACGGGGGTTGTCATCTGTGCAGAGGATGGAGAGCAAGGGCTGGCAGTGCACAAGAAGTAAGTTCTCTGTCTGAGAACTTAGGCTCCATATAGGCGGCAGCAACGCAGGCGTGGAGAGGTTGGAGAATCCACTTGGGGCTCTGAGAACTGGAGGAAGACCATGGGAGAGGCAGCATTTCTGCCGGGCCTTCTAAAATGAGATTTTATCAGGTAGTGATAAGTTGGTGAAGGGAGCAAAACTGAGGAAGTAGCAACTGCAAAAATTTTGCAGAGGCTGAAAAAGGAAGTGCAAGGCAAGTTTCGCTATAAATGCTTAGCCAGACATTGCGGGTCCTGGCAATCTCACTGCATTTCACTAGTCAGTTCACGCTCTTGTGCTCCAAGAGGATTTTTTTTTTTTTTTAAGATTGATTTATTTATGCATACAAGAACTGGGGTACAGGCCAGAGGGGCAGAGGAGCAGGGGTGAGAGGATTCACCAGAGGGAGTGGGGTGTAGAACAGGCAGAATGACTGAAACACACTGCTGAGGGGAGCAGCCTGGAGGGGTCTGCTGCGCCATATGGGTCAGCTCCCTGGCCAGGGATCGAACTCATGGTGCAGATAGCCTCATAGTGCTGAGACTTAATCCCTGCACCACCAAGGAGGACCTACATCATTTCTTTTAAAATAGAAAATAGGAGGGCCTCCCTGGTGGCACAAGTGGTTAAGCACCATACTGTGATGCTGTCCACAGCCTCTGCAGCACAAGTTCGATCCCGAGCCGGCCAGGGAGCAACCCACATGGCATAGCAGACCTCTCCTGACTCACCTGCTGCTCCCCTCAGCAGTGTATTTCAGTCAATCTGCCTGTTCTGTTCCCCACTCTGGCTCTGGTGAATCCTCTCACCCTCCCACCCCCACATCTCTGGCCTGTACCCCAGCTCTTGTATGCATAAATAAATAAATCTTAAATAAAATAAAATAGAAAATAGGGGCCTCCCTGGTGGCGAAAGGGCTTGAGCACAGCACGGTGAAGCTGTACACAGCCTGATTATTCAACCATTTTATTCCTCAGCCTGGTAAAGCCCTTGGGTCTGATTTGGTTTTTTAAGTCTGCTATATGGCTCAGGCTCTGGGATGTTCTCCAGTGTGCTAATAGAAGTTTGCAGAACTACCTATGCATCCTGTTCTCCCCCTTTATTTCTCCTCCTTTATTTCTTCCCACCACTTTTTTGATCCTCCTCCCTCCCCTCCTGCTTTTTTGTTCCACTTCCTTTAAACTGAAGCTAATCTATGCCTTTAAGCTCTTTGTAAAGCCTCTTTACAACCATACTCTGCTCCCCCATCTGTTTTATTTACTTCAGTGATGAAGTAATCAACAGAATAACACATTTAATTGATTGAAGATATGAGAAATTGGATTTATTTAGTCAACAGGGAAAGAAACGTTGAAGAAGGACACTACAGCAGGTACAAAAGCAGTCAATAGTCTGTAGGTAGTAAGTGGCAACTTTGGGCTAATCATCTTTAGCAGACCTGAAAAATATCACTGTACCTTATTGGTTTTTTTTTTTAAGATTTATTTATGCATACAATAACGGGTACAGGCCAGAGTTGGGGGACGGTGAGAGGATGTACCAGAGACAGAGTGGGGAGCAGAACAGGCAGACTGACTGAAATACACTGCTGAGGGGAGCGGCGGGCAAGACAGGAGAGGTCTGCTGTGCTGTGTGGGTTTCTCCCTTGTCAGCCGGGGAATCAAACTCGTGCTGCAGAGGCTGAGGATTGCTTCCTAGTGCTGTGCTATACTCCTTGCGCCACCAGGGAGGCCCCCTTATTGGGTTTTGACACATTATCCTTTAATTTTTGAGGGTCGTAAACCTTCTAGGTTCTAATCAAACAAAATTACACTCACCAGGATAATCAGGTGATCCTCAGGTGGACTAGAAAATGCTACAGTGATGCGTTAACAGACGGTGTAGCACGTTTTTGCCTTATTTTTAAAATGTTGTAAAGGCAGGACTGGACCAGTGCAGGTTTTCTGATCCCATGCAGACCAGGTAAAGGAGGAGTCAGAGTCCTCAGTGGTTTTTTGCAGGTCTTTTATTGGGGTTCACCAGGCATATGGCAGGCAGGGGTGCTGGCTGGGGGGCTGGGAGGCTGACAGGCCTCCCAGCCCCCAGCAAGTCTTCACTCTATCTGGGCTCTCTGGCGTTCGTTCTGCTGCTTCTCGGCTTCTCTTTCGGCTTCTGCTTTGGCTTCTGCTGGCGTCCCCGTGATGCCGCCCTTAAAAAGCACAATCTTAGCTCAGCTGAATCCCATCTACCTATGCCTATACCCTATTCCAGGTGCCCGCCATCAGGCATGCATTCAGGACAAGGATCCATCATTTATCCTGATGGCGGGAGGGCAGAAAAGCCTGACATTTTCTTTACCCTACAGTCCACCCCCTCAGGGTTTTCTGCCATACAGTCTCTCTCTATATATAATTTTCTTATCAAACATAAACAATGCAGCCATGGCCCACAAAAGCAAATACATTACAATATAACAAAATACAACAGAACACAAAAGTCCAGGCAGGGCCCCAACCTAGTGCAAAAGACAATTATTGGTACCAGCAGATGAGCCACCACATCTGCTGCCGAAGGCACTGCTCATACGAGGGAGGGGAACCGCTCATGGCATCTACTGTAACACACCAGGAGCCGTCAGGCTTCCTGGCCTTCTCTGGCTGTAGTCTCGGCTACAAGGCACACACAGCATCCACCCCCAGGATGCACTCGCTCTGGGATTGGCGATTCTATTCTGTTGGGGGTAATCGCCAAACCTCAGGGTTTCTGTCTGCTGTCGCTCCAACACTCGGCCTTCATAGCCACTAATGTGACTCGCAGACCCCTGCACTCAGGCCAACCCACTGCACAAGCACATGGGTCGGGGATCCAAACTCTACATTCAGCTTGGGCTCCACCCCAAGCCACGTTCCCCACCCGTCCCCAAAAGACGGGTTCCTCAGCTCCTCGCCCTCACTCGACAAGGAGCAGGGCATCACCCACAGGTGATTTTACGAGACTCACAGTTCTTCAGCATACCCAGGCTGCTTAACAGCCACTCAGGGCTTCTCAACTTAGCATCAGCACCAGCTTTTGCCTTCTCAGCTGGCTTTTCTCCTCCGCCTGGCTGCTGGGCATAACAGGCTGCTTTTGGCCATCAAGGCCCACTGGCCACCCCCAGATTCCCATCTCCTGGGGTTTACAAACGAAACTGTTCCACCCCAGGGCCCCAAAATATATCAACCTGCAAGGGCCTCCGCCTTCTGGCGGGAATGTCAGTCCAAGTTCATCAGTCCGAGTCCATCAGTCCATTAGGCCAAGTTCGTTGGCCTCTCCCTGAATCACTACTGGCGCGCTCCTAATCGTGGTCCTCTCTTCGCCGGTGATTCTCCTGCCTCAGGGGTCGTTGGCTGGTCCTCTCGGGCGTCTCCATGCGAGGTCTCGTCCGTCCCACAGCTCCCGGACCCTATCCACCTTCTGTGCCGCCATGGCGCCTCCAGCGTCGTCACAGGCAAACACTGTTACTCCTTAGTCCCTCCAGGTCTTCGGAGGGCTCCAATACCCGTCTGCATGGATCATCTTGCCGACTTAGGCCAATTGTAGGGGGCAGGACTGGGCACAGGGCAGGTTTTCTGATCCCATGCAGACTGGGTAAAGGAGGAGTCAGAGTCCTCAGTGGTTTTTTGCAGGTCTTTTATTGGGGTTCACTAGGCATATGGCAGGCAGGGGTGCTGGCTGGGAGGCTGGCAGGCTGACAGGCCTCCCAGCCCCCAGCAAGTCTTCACTCTATCCGGGCTCTCTGGCGTTCGTTCTGCTGCTTCTCGGCTTCTCTTTCGGCTTCCGCTTTGGCTTCTGCTGGCGGCCCCGTGACGCCGCCCTTAAAAGCACAGTCTTAGCCCAGGTGAATCCCAAATACCTATGCCCACACCCTATTCCAGGTGCCCGCCATCAGGCATGCATTCAGGACAAGGATCCATCATCTATCCTGATGGCGGGAGGGCAGAAAAGCCTGACATTTTCTTTACCCTACAAATGTGCATACCTTTCCCTATACAGTTGTTTTCTGTGACCATAAATGATCTCTAAAAGTGATTCTTGGTCACAAGCTAAAAAGGTTGATGGCATGTTTTTGTGTCAGAACCATTCATCAAATTCGTTGCTTAGTGGCTTTTCTAAGT